ATTCCTCTTCTTTCTTCATCTATGCCAATTCAACAAAAGACTTATTAGCTCAGTTGATTAGAACGTTGTGCTAATATCGAGAAGGTCGCAAGTTTGAAACTTGCATGGACCAAATCTTTTTATAGTTATATCATTGCCACACCTTGATTCATCTCCTTTCTTCATCTTTACCTATTCACGTACTGTGAATGTTTTAACACGTATGCTCATTAGCCTTTTTTGCCTCGTACATGGTCAGAATGCCTCGATTCCTCTCCTTTCTTTATCTATGTCCATTCAACAAAAGGCCTATTAGCTCAGTTGATTAGAGCGTCATGTTAATAATGCGAAAGTCGTAGGTTCGTAACATGCATGGGCCAAATTTTACTATTGTTATATTAGTTACACTTCCACGCCTTGATTCCTTTCATTTCATTATCTATGCCTATTCACTTACGCTGATTATGCTTTTTTGCCTCGTACATGGTCAGAATTCCTCGATTTCTCTCATTTCTTCATCTATGCCAATTTAACAAAAGGCCAATTAGCTTAGTTGGTTAAAGTGTTGGGCTAATAACACGAAGGTCATAGGTTTGAAACAAGGGACTGACGCTCTGGAACGACCCCCTCTGTGACTATACAGCTTGACGACACGCCTCGTCGCGACCAGGTATTCATTCTAACCCTGTTTAGTAGGATATGAGTGGTTGCAAGGCTGTAAAAATTTGATGTTTGTCTTGGGAAGGTGGTAACTATGATTACGTTTTAGAGTGTTTAATAGTGAATATTCACTCTATTACTGTCGATGTTAGATTTGGGTTATTGTTAGGAGGCCGAGAGGGTTCACGTTATAACTTACTGGCCTTAGGAAGACAAAGGGGTGACTTCGCAAAGTGCGTGACGTCCAACCCATAGAAATGTATATCAGACCTTCTAAGGTCTAGTAAGAGATGGATAACTATGGCTCAGCCTCCCATGACCATAATTCTAGATGTCAATCATGTCTCCTTTGTGACCACATTGTAGGCCTAGACAATTTAGAACATGCCTTAGGGCAAACCACATAGTAGACCCAGACAAAGTTCTATAGGAGTTATGCACCCCTCAAGCAAACGAATTTCATAAGTGAGTTTGGTTAAGTTGGAGGTCGAGAAATAAGATTCACCAACATTGAGAGTGAAGCTATAGAGGACATGGCTTCAAGGTCAGTTGGAATCTTCACGAGCTAAGTTTCAGTTATGGACTTCCAAAAGCATGATGTGCCCTTAATGTCACTAAAGGGATATGGGGTGCAGGATATTCCCATTGATGGATCACCTACTAGAGAATAAGTTGCTTTGGACCTTGGTGGAGAGGACAAAGTCTAAATGCAGCATCTCGTTATTAGGACCACCTTAAAAAAAAAAACGAGTTTTAATCTATCCTTTGGTCAAGATAGACGTGCTCACAAATAAGATTCACCAACATTGAGAGTGAAGCTATAGAGGACATGGCTTCAAGGTCAGTTGGAATCTTCACGAGCTAAGTTTCAGTTATGGACTTCGAAAAGCATGATGTGCGCTTAATGCCACTAAAGGGATATGGGGTGTAGGATATTCCCATTGATGGATCACCTACTAGAGAATAAGTCGCTTTGGACCTTGGTGGAGAGGACAAAGTCTAAATGCAGCACGTGGTTATTAGGACCACCTTAAAAAAAAAAACGAGTTTTAATCTATCCTTTGGTCAGGATAGGCGTGCTCACAAAGTAAAGGACGTGGAACCGTCAAGGTAGTCTGGTGAACCTCGGGGTCGAGAACAGCAGGAAAAGAGGTCAAGCTATGGTCACACTATCTCCGTTTGGAGAGAGAAAACCTAGATGTGTGTTAGTAAGAACCTACTCTCGTATAGGTCACCCGGATTACAAAGAGTAGGATTCTAGCTACACACATGAGTGTGACGCCATACTCGTGAAGCATGCTTAGACAGAGGTAGAACTCTTAGACAACAAGATGCCAAAGACCACCAGAGGGTAGTGAGATGGTGACTTGTAACCAGGTAAGACTAGCAAAGACATGATACGTCTTAGAGAAGATACTAACATAGCATCCTCAAAGTTTGAGGGAGACTAGCTACCAAACAAGAGTCTTCAGAGAGTTCCCTAGAATACGGTACAAGAACTTGAAAGGTTCAAGTACTTGAAAAAAATCCAGTGATGAGAAATCATTACGAGAGGAGACGTGACTAGCTGAGTCGTAAAGATACTGCATGAGTTAGCCTAGGTGAACGCAAAGGACTCATGCAAGGATCCCTTACTTCCAAAAGAGCCCGTACATGGCCCAAACGAGTATTAATACTCAAGTGAACTACGTGACGGAGCGTCTCGTATGAGGAAAGACCTGTGTTAACCAAATGAGATACAATTCGAGGTCATTTTTGGTGAAGCGGTAAGGACCGCAAGGGTCCCAACAAGGTCAAGATACCTCCTATGAGGATCAAAGAGAGGGACATGTTGAGGACTGCCTTCTAGAGTCATGAGGAAGGTGAGCTTACTGACAAGCCCTTCCAGAGTCATGAGAAAGTGTAAGTTTACAAAAATCAAAGGTTCATGAGATCCTCTTGCTATCATCATTATAGTCGTCTTTGACGATATGACAATGAACACTTGAGGAAGGTTTTTGTGGTGTTATGAACATATCGATCATGTGCTAAGATCTCCAAAGTGCCGGTGTTGGTTGTCTGAGATGACATTCAAAGTTATGTGGTGTCAAGTGGAGAGAGTGCATCGTAGACACCGCTAAGATTGAAGTAGCTATGAGGTGGTTCAAATAACTCAAGTGGTTAGAGTGTGGGGACCTTAACCACAAGGTCAAGGGTTTAACCCCTTGTGGCTGGAATAGCTCAGTTGGTTAGAGCGTGTGGCTATTAACCACAAGGTCGGAGGTTCAAACCCTCATAACTACGACTAGTTGAAATTGCATTTGAGCCTAATACCGTCATGGTATCCGACTTTATTGTTATATCAGGTAACACTGCCTCTCTTAATCTATGCCCATTCCCTTACGCTAATTAGCCTTTTTTGCCTCGTACATGGTCAGAATGCCTCGATTCCTCTCCTTTCTTCATCTATACCCATTTAACAAAAAGCCTATTAGCTCAGTTTGTTAGAGCGTTGTGAATAATGTGAAGGTCGCAAGTTTGAAAACTACATTGCCACACCTTGATTCCTCTCCTTTCTTCATCTATGTCTATTCACTTAGGTTGATTAGCCTTTTTTGCCTCCTACATGGTCAGAATTCCTCGATTCCTCTCCTTTCTTCATCTATGTCCATTCAACAATAGACCTATTAGCTCAATTAGTTAGAGTGTGGCCTATTAGCTCAGTTGGTTAGAATATCGTGCTAATAATGCGAATGTCATATGTTCGAAACTTTTTCCTCGTACATGGTCAGAATGACTCGATTTCTCTTCTTTCTTCATTTATGCCCATCCAACAAAAGGCCTATTAGCTCAGTTGGTTAGAGCGTTGTGCTGATAATGTGAAGGTTGCATGTTTGAAATTTGCATGGGTTTTACTAATATCAATTACACTGTCATGCCTTCATTTATCAACGCCTATTCACTTAGCTGATTAGCCTTTTTTGCCTCGTACATGGTCAGAATACCCGGTTTCTCTCCTTTCTTCATCTATGCCTATCCAATAAAAGGCCTATTAGCTCAGTTAGTTAGAGCATCGTGTTAATAACACAAAGGTCGCAGGTTTGAAACCTACATGGGCCAAGCCAAAAAGGGTATTGGTTATATCAATCCTTTGCAGGTTTGAAACCTACATGGGCCAAGCAAAAGGGTATGTGTTAATATCAATTACACAGCCATGTCTTGATTCATCTCCGTTCTTCATCTATGCCTATTCACTTACACACTGATTAGTTTCGTACATGGTCAGAATGCCTCGAGGTTCGAAACCTGCATGGGCATATCAATTACACTGCCACGCCTTGATTCCTCTCCTCCTTCCTTTCTTCATCTATTCACTTGTGCTGATTAGCCTTTTTTGTCTCGTATATTGTCAGAATGCCTCGGTTTCTCTTCTTTCTTCATCTATGCACATCTAACAAAAGGCCTATTAGCTCAGTTGTTTAAAGTGTCATGATAATAATGTGAAGGTCGCAGGTTCGAAACTTGCATTGGCCTAAACTAAGGATTTACTATTGTTATATCAATTATACTGCTATGCCTTGATTCCTCTCTTTTCTTCATCTATGCCTATCCACTTACGCTAATTTGCCTTTTTTGCCTCATATATTGTCAGAATGCCTCGATTTCTCTCCTTTTTTCATCAATGCCTATCCAACAAAAGGCTTATTAGCTCAGTTGGTTAAAGCATCGTGCTAATAACGTGTAGGTCATAGGTTTGAAACCTGTATGGGCCAAACCAAAGGGTATTGGTTATATCAATTACACTGCCATGCCTTGATTCATCTTCGTTCTTCACTTATGCTGATTAATTTTTTTTGCCTCAATTTTGCTCCTTTCTTCATCTATTCCCACCCAATGAAAGGCCTATTAGCTTAGTTGGTTAGAGCGTTGTTCTAATAATGTGAAGGTCGCAGGTTCAAAACCAGCATGGGCCAAACAAAGAAGGGTTTACTATTGTTGGTTATATCAATTACATTGCCCCGACTTGATTTATCTCCGTTCTTCATCTATGCCTATGCACTTACGCTAATTAGCCTTTTTTGCCTCGTATATTGTTAGAATGCCTCGGTTTCTCATCTTTCTTCATCTGCGCCCATCCAACAAAAGGCCTATTAGCTTAGTTGGTTAAAGCGTTGTGCTAATAATTCGAAGGTTGCAGGTTCGAAACTTGCATGGGCCAAACTTAGGATTTAATATTGTTATATCAATTACACTTCCACGCCTTATTCCTCTCCTTTCTTCATCTATGCCTATTCACTTACGCTGATTCGCCTTTTTTGCCTCGTACATTGTCAGAATGCTTCAATTTCTCTTCATTCTTCATTTATGCCCATCTAACAAATGGCCTATTAGCTCAGTTGGTTAGAGCATCGTGCTAATAAAGCAAAGATTGCAGGTTCGAAACTTGCATGGGCCAAACAAAAGGGTATTGGTTGTTATATCAATTACACTGCCATGCCTTGATTCATCTCCATTCTTAATATTCACTTATGCTGATTAGTTTTTTTTTTTTGCCTCGATTTTGCTCCTTTCATCATCTATTCCCATTCAATGAAAGGCCCATTAGCTTAGTTGGTTAGAGTGTTGTGCTAATAATGTGAAGGTCACAAGTTGAAAGCCTCCATGGGCCAAAAACAAAGAAGGGTTTACTATTGTTATATCAATTACACTGCCACGCCTTGATTCATCTTCGTTCTTCATCTATGCCTATGCACTTAGTTGATTAGCCTTTTTTGCCTCGTATATTGTCAGAATGCCTCGGTTTCTCATCTTTCTCATCTATGCTCATCCAACAAAAGGTCTATTAGCTCAGTTCGTTAGAGCGTCGTGCTAATAACACGATTATATCAATTACACTGCCACGCCTTGATTCCTCTCCTTTCTTCATCTATGCCTATTCATTTACGCTGATTCGCCTTTTTTGCCTCGTATATTGTCAGAATGCCTCGATTTCTCTCCTTTCTTCATCTATGCCCATCCAATAAAAGCTTTATTAGCTCAGTTGGTTAGAGTGTTGTGCTAATAACGCGAATGTCCTAGGTTTGAGACCTGCATGAGCCAAACAAAAGGGTATTGGTTATATCATTACATCTCCATGCCTTGATTCTTTTCCGTTCTTCATCTATGCCTATTCATCTATTCCGTCTTGATTTCTCTCCTTTCTTCATCTATTCCCATCCAATGAAAGGCTCATTAGCTCAGTTGGTTAGAGCGTTGTGCTAATAATGTGAAGGTCGCAGGTTCGCTCCTTTCTTCATCTATTCCCATCCAATGAAAGGCCCATTAGCTCAGTTGGTTAGAGCGTTGTGCTAATAATGTGAAGGTCGTAGGTTCGCTCCTTTCTTCATCTATTCCCAACCAATGAAAGGCCCATTAGCTCAGTTGGTTAGAGCGTTGTGCTAATAATGTGAAGGTCGCAGGTTCAAAACCTACATGGGCCAAACAAAGAAGGGTTTACTATTGTTATATCAATACACTGCCACACCTTGATTCCTCTCCTTTCTTCATCTATGCCTATTCACTTACGTTGATTCGCCTTTTTTGCCTCGTATATTGTCAGAATGCCTCGATTTCTCTCCTTTCTTCATCTATGCCCAACCAACAAAAGGCCTATTAGCTCAGTTGGTTAGAGTGTCGTGCTAATAACACGAAGGTCGTAGGTTCAAAACCTGCATGGGCCAAACCAAAGGATTGATGGTTATCAATTACATTGCCATGCTTTGATTCATCTCCGTTCTACATTTATCCCTATTCACTTACGCTGATTAGTTTTTTTTGCCTCGATTTCGCTCCTTTCTTCATCTATTCCCATCTAATGAAAGGCCTATTAGCTTAGTTGGTTAGAGCGTTGTGCTAATAATGTGAAGGTTGCAGGTTCAAAACTTGCATGGGCCAAACAAAGAAGGGTTTACTAGTGTGTTATATTAATTACACTACCATGCCTTGATTCATCTATGCCTATGCGTTTACGCTTATTAACCTTTTTTTCCTCGTATATTGTCAGAATGCCTCGGTTTCTCTTCTTTCTTCATCTATGCCCATCTAACAAAAGGCCTATTAGCTCAATTGGTTAGAGCGTCGTGATAATAATGCGTAGGTCGTAGGTTCAAAACTTGCATTGGGCCATATTAAGGATTTACTATTGTTATATCAATTACACTGCCATTACTTGATTCCTCTCCTTTCATCATCTATGCCTGTTCACGATCTCTCCTTTCTTCATTTATGCCCATCCATTCTCTCCTTTCTTCATTTATGCCCATCCAACAAAAGGCCTATTAGCTAAGTTGGTTAGAGCGTCGTGCTAATAATGCAAAGGTTGTAGGTTCGAAACCTGTATGGGCCAAGCAAAATGGTATTGGTTATATCAATCAATTACACAACCATGTCTTGATTCATCTTCGTTCTTCATCTATGCCTATTCACTTACACTGATTAGTTTCGTACATGGTCAGAATGCCTCGATTTTGCTCCTTTCATCTATTCCCATCCAACGAAAGGCCTATTAGTTGAGTATGTTAGGGCGTTGTGCATTTTGCTCCTTTCATCTATTCCCATCCAACGAAAGGCCTATTAGTTGAGTATGTTAAGGCGTTGTGCTAATAACGTGAAGGTCGCAGGTTGCAGGTTCGAAACCTGCATGGGCATATCAATTACACTGCCACGCCTTGATTCCTCTCCTTTCTTCATCTATTCACTTATGCTGATTAGCCTTTTTTGCCTCGTATATTGTCAGAATGCCTCGGTTTCTCTCCTTTCTTCATCTATGCCCATCCAACAAAAGGCCTTTTAGCTCAGTTGGCTAGAGCTTCGTGCTAATAACGTGAAGGTCGCAGTTCGAAAATTTGCATGGGCCAGCTAATAACACGAAGGTATTAGCTCAGTTGGTTGAAAACCTGCATGGGCCAGCTAATACCTTCGCCAGCTAATAACGCGAAGGTATTAGCTCAGTTGGTTAGAGCGTCATATCAATTACTTTGCCACGCCTTGATTCCTCTCCTTTCTTCATCTATACCTATTCACTTTGTCAGAATGCCTCGGTTTCTCTCCTTTCTTCATCTATGTTTATCCAACGAAAGGCCTATTAGCTCAGTTGGTTAGAGTGTCGTGCTAATAACGCAAAGGTCGAAGGTTTGAAACCTGCATGGGCCAAACAAAAGGCCTATTAGCTCAGCTAGTTAGAGTGGTAATATTAATGCGCGAAAGTCGCAGGTTCAAAACTTGCATTGGGCCCCAAACTAAGGATTTACTATTTTATATATCAATTACACTGCACACCTTGATTCCTCTCCTTTCTTCATCTATGCCTATTCACTTACGTTGATTCGCCTTTTTTGCCTCGTATATTGTCAGAATGCCTCGATTTCTCTCCTTTCTTCATCTATGCCAACCAACAAAAGGCCTATTAGCTCAGTTGGTTAGACCCTCGTGCTAATATGGTTATATCAATTACATTGTCATGGCATGTTTCATCTCCGTTCTTCATCTATGCCTATTCATTTACGCTGATTAGATTTTTTTGCCTCGATTTCGCTTTCACTCTTAGTTGGTTAGAGTGTTGTGTTAATAATGTGAAGGTTGCAGGTTTGAAACCTGCATGGGCCAAACAAAGGGTTTACTATTGTTATATTAATTACACTGCCATGCTTTGATTCCTTTCCTTTCTTCATCTATGCCTATTCACTTAGGTTGTTTAGCCTTTTTTGCCTTGTACATGGTCAGAATGCCTCGATTCCTCTCCTTTATTCATCTATAATGTGAAGTTCAGGCTTATTAGCTCAGTTGGTTAGAGTGTTGTGCTTATAATGTGAAGGTTGTGAAGGTTCAAAACTTGTATAGGTCAAAGCTTACTCTCTAGAGCTTTTTTTTTTTTTTTTGCTAATAACCTTATTTGAATGTTGTGCTTATAATGTGAAGTTCAGGCTTATTAGCTCAGTTGGTTACAGTGTTGTGCTTATAATGTAAAGGTTGTGAAGGTTCAAAATCTATATAGGTCAAAGCTTACTTTCTTGAGCTTTGGATCGAGAACTTAACAAAGTGACAATTAAAAACAAGTATCCATCCTGTACCCCGAATCGACGACCTGTTCACTTAACAAAGTGACAATTAAAAACCTGTTCACTTAACAAAGTGACAATTAAAAACAAGTATCCTTTACCCTAGATCGACGACCTGTTCACTTAACAAAGTGATAATTAAAAACAAGTATTCTTTACCCCAGATTGACGACCTGTTCGATCAGTTGCAAGGAGCAGTTGTGTTTTCAAATATTGACTTACGGTCAGCACCCCCCTCACTGAGTTGACCAAGAATCATCTTCATCGATGATATACTTGTGTATTCCAAGATTAGGGAACAACACGAGGAACATCTCTGGAAAGTGTTGATCACTCTGACCCTCACTGAGTTGACCAAGAAAGGAAAGTCGTTCACTTAGAATGATTAGTGGAGGATAGTTTCCAGAAACTTAAACAGAGGTTAGTAAGCCGTTAAGAGATGGAGGCTTTGTAGTATACAGTGATGCTTCAAAAAGGGTGTTAGGGTGTGTCCTCATGCAACATGGGAAGGTTATTGCATATGCTTCGCGTCAACTAAAAGAAACTGAGCGAAACTATCCCACCCACGACCTAGAACTCGCAGCAGTGGTATTTGCACTAAAGATTTGGAGACACTACCTTTATGGAGAAAGGACCCAAATTTTCACTGACCACAAGAGTCTTAAATACTTCTTTACTCAGAAGGATTTAACCATGAGACAACGCAGGTGGTTGGAGTTGGTTAAAGACAGCACACACTTCTGCTCTAATCACCACAAAAAGCAATCCAACAGGATCTGGAACGCACCGGTGTAGCAGTGGCTGTGGGGGAGGTTGCCGCTCAATTGGCCCAGTTAACGATACAATCGACCTTGAGACAACGTCTTATTGATAAACAACATGGTGATCCAGATTTGATTGGAAAAAGACGTTTGATAGAGGTCAATCAAACAGAGGACTTTGCATTGACAGCAGATGGGGGGCTCTTGTACCATGGGCGGTTGTGTGTGCCAAATAAAGAAGAACTGAAGGTAGAAATCCTAACCGAGGCTCACCACTCACCATTCGCCCTACATCCTGGCAGTACCAAGATGTATCAGGATTTGACACGACATTATTGGTGGCGGAATATGAACAAGTCAAATGGGTTGTGGTTGATAGGCTCACAAAGTCAGCCCACTTCCTGCCATGGAAGTCCACTTATTCCGTGGATAAATGGGCTCAGTTGTACTTGAAGGAAGTAACTAGATTGCACAGGGTACCGATATCCATTGTGTCAGATAGGGATCCCCGTTTCACATCAAAGTTTTGGAAAAGCCTTCAGAAAGCTTTGGGTATACGACTAGAGTTTAGTACAGCATTCCACCCACAGACGGATGGGCAAACTGAACGCTTAAACCAAATTCTGGAGGACATGTTATGGGCCTGTATGTTGGACTTTGCCGGTAGCTAGGACACACACTTGCATCTCATAGAGTTCGCTTATAACAACAGTTATCAAGTGACGTTGGGTTGGCACCTTTTGAGGCCTTATACGGGAAGAAGTGTCAATCCCTAGTGTGTTGGATGAAGTCGGAGAACGCAAGTTGTTGGGCCCCGACTTAGTGCAAACAACTAATGAGGCTATCCAGAAAATAAGGACTAGAATGCTTACGACCCAAAGCAGGCAAAAGAGTTATACCGATGTGAGACGAAGGGATTTGGAGTTTGAGGTGGGAGACAAAGTATTCCTTAAGGTGGCTCCCATGAAAGGCGTTCTTAGGTTTGGGCGCAAAGGAAAGTTAAGCCCACGCTTCATTGAACCATTTGAGATCTTGGAGCGAGTGGGACAAGTAGCTTACCGGTTGGCCCTACCATCTGCACTCTCAGGAGTCCACAATGTGTTCCATGTATCGATGTTGCAACTATACATATCTGACCCATCGCATGTGATAGATTTCAAACCTCTACGGTTGGATAAGGGTTTGAACTATGAGGACGAAAGTTTCTTTTTTGGGGAATATTGTAAGGTCCATGTTTTGGGCCCATGGCCCAATAATAAAAACAAGAGTTATAAAAAATAAGCCCTAGGGTTCAGCATGGGAGCCAAATCCTTCGCCAGCAGCCGCTCGCCACTCTTCCTTCTTTCTATCGCCGCCCTTCCTTCCCTTTTTTTCACTTTTTTTCCTTAAGCCGCTACCACCCAACGCTTACGGTCCCGCAACCGATTGTTTCCCACACCGCTCCGCGCCCCTTCCCACATCAGAAACCTCCCACCCAACACCCACATCGCCGCCGCGAGGGGAACACCATCGTCGTTGCCAGAACCGACCTCAAGAGGATTAAACGCAGCAAAGGTTCAATTCCTACGTAGGAAGAAGGCTCAGTTCGAGGGGAGTCGGACTGTCATTGATTAGGAAAGGCCAAGAAAGTCCCTCCTTAGGTAAGGGACACGCCTATTGAAAATTAACGTTTTGTTTTTTTTAAAAAAATGGGTCGAACAGAATTGTCCTATGGCTAGGTGCTGTGTAATTTGATTGCCAAGTGTAATCTGATCGCTGTATGTGTAATTTGATTGCTGTGTGTAATCTGATCGCTTTGGGTAATTTGATCGCTGTGTGTAATCGTGTGTAATCTGATTGTCGTGTAATCTGATTGTCGTGTAACCTGATTGTCGTGTAACCTGATTGTCGTGTAACCTGATTGTCGTGTAACCTGATTGTCGTGTAACCTGATTGTCGTGTAATCTGATTGTCGTGTAATCTGATAATCGTGTAATCTGATTGTCGTGTAATCTGATAATCGTGTAATCTGATAGTCGTGTAATCTGATTGTGGTGTAATATAGTTAGGTTGTGTAGTCTAGATAGGTGTCTATTGCCGGCATATTGTGCTTGTAGGTAGCTACGGTTAAGGGGTTTGTGGTAATAGTTACACGCTGTGTGTTTCGGGTAACTAGCCACCAATAGTCACCTTTGGGGGTGATTCTAGAAAACGACTATCCATGTAAGGGCTACATGATGTGTGTTTTCGGGTAACCAGCCGTTGATAGTCAATTTGAGGAAATAAGGAGGTGAGGTCCTTGTGGTAATGGTTATATACTGTGTGTTTTAAGTAACCAACTAGGAATAACCACTTTAAGAAGTAAAGATGACGTTGATGTTGTGGTGGCAATAATCATCTGCTGCGTGTTTTGGTTGATCGCCTTATGACGATTCTTATGTTGGCCCCAATATGGGAGTCCCTTACTGAGTATTTTTATACTCATCCTGTTTTTAAAATGATTTTCAAGCAAGCTGTGGCATGGAGGTGACGAGTAGGATGCAAAAGTT